CATTCCCTCAGTCTCACAGTCCCATATAACCACAGCCCCACAGTCCCACAGTCCCACAATCCACAATCCCACAGTCTCACAGTCGCACCGTCACACAGTCCCACAGTCCCACAGACCCACAGATCCACATCTAATAGACCCACAGACTTACAGGCCCACAGACCCACTGACACCACAGTCCCATAGACCCACAGTCCCACAGACCCACAGACCCACATGTAACAGACCCTCAGACCCATACCATGGACCCACAGACCCATAGACCACAGTCCCACAGACCCACATTCCCCACGTCCCACAGTCCCATAGTCCCACAGTCCCAGAATCTCACAGTCCCACAGTCCCACAGACCCATAGTCCCACAATCCCACAGTTCTACAGTCCCACATACCTACAGTCCCACAGATCCACAATCAAACAGTCCCATAGTCCCACAGTCTCTCAGACCCAGAGTCTCACAGTCCCAGAGACCCACAGACTGAGAGACCCAAAGTCACACAGTCCCGAAATCCCCACAGATCCACAGTCCCTAAGACTCACAGTCCCATACACCCACAGTCCCACAGTCCCGAAGTCCCAAAGGCCCACAGTCCCACATACCCACAGTCTCACAGACCCACAGTCCCACAGACCCACAGTCCCACAGTCTCACAGTCCCACAGACCCAAAGACCCACAGTTCCATAGTCCCACATTCCCACACTCCAATAGTTCCACAGTCCTGCAGACCCACAGTCTCACAGACCTACAGTCCCACAGTCCCACAAGCCCAGAGTCCCATAGTCCCACAGTCCCACAGACCCACCGTCGCACAGTCCCACAGTCCCAAGACCCACAAACTTAGAGCCCCAAGTCCCACAGACCCACAGTCCCACATTCCCACATACCCACAGTCCCACTGTCCCACAGACCAACTGACCCACAGTCCCATACACCCAAGTCCCACAGACCCACAGTCCCACAGTCTCACATACCCATAGTCCCACAATCGCACAGTCCCACAGACCTACAGACCCTCAGTCCCAAATACCCACAGTCCCAAAGTCCCACAGATCCAGAGCTCCACAGTCCCAAGGCCCCACAGTCCCACAGTCCCACATACCCAAAGACCCACACTCCCATAGTCCCACAGTCCTACAGACTCACAGACTCACAGTCCCACAGTCCCACAGTCCCACAGACCCACAGTCCTACAGACCCACAGTCCAACAGTCTCCACAGACCCACAGTCCCACAGTCCCACAGTCGCACAGTCCCAGAGACCCACAGACCAAGAGACCCAAAGTCACACAGTCTGAAGTTCCCACAGATCCACAGTCCCAAAGACCCACAGTCCCATAGACCCACAGTCCCAAAGTCCCAGAGACCCACAGTCCCACAGTCCCATAGACCCACATTCACACAAACCCACAGTCCCACAGTCACACAGTCCCACAGACCCACAATCCCAAAGTCCCACAAATCCAGAGTCCCATAGTCCCAGTCCCACAGACCCACAGTCCCAAAGTCCCAGAGACCCAAAGTCCCACAGTCACAGTCCCACAGTCCCACAGTCCCACAGACCCACAGTCCCAAAGTCCCAGAGATCCAAAGTCCCACAGTCACACAGTCCTACAGACCCACAGTCTCACAGACCCACAGACCAAGAAACCCAGAGTCACACAGTGCTGAAGTCCCCACAGACCCACAGTCCCACAGTCCCACAGTCCTACAGACCCACAGACCCACAGTTTCACAGTCTTACAGACCCACTGACCCACAGTCCCACAGTCCCAGAGACCCACAGTCCCAAAGTTCCAGAGACCCAGAGTCCCACAGTCACACAGTCCTACAGACCCATAGTCCTACAGACCCACAGTTCCACAGTCCTACAGACCCACAGACCCAAAGTCCCACAGTCACACACAGTCCCCACAGACCCACAGTTTCACAGTCTTACAGACCCACTGACCCACAGTCCCACAGACCCACAGTCCCAAAGTCCCAGAGATCCAAAGTCCCACAAACCCAAAGACCCACACTTCCATAGTCCCACAGTCCTACAGACCCACAGACCCACAGTCCCACAGTCCCACAGACCCACAGTCCCAAAGTCCCAGAGACCCAAAGTCTCACAGTCACACAGTCCCACAGACCCACAGTCCTACAGACCCACAGTCCCACAGTCCTACAGAACCACAGACCCACAGTCCCACAGTCACACAGTCACACAGACCCAGAGTCCCAAAGTCCCAGAGACCCACAGTCCCACAGACCCACATTCCCACAAACCCACAGTCCCACAGTCTCACAGTCCAACAGACCCACAGCTCCAAAGTCCCACAGACACACAGACCCACAGTTCCATATACCTACAGTCTCACAGTCCCACAGAACCAGAGACCCACAGTCCACTTATCCACAGTCCCACATACCCATAGTCTCACAGTGCCACATAACCACAGACCCACAGTCCCACAGTCCCATAATCCACAATCCCGCAGTCCCACAGTCGCACCGTCCCACAGTCCCACAGACCCACAGTGAAAAAGTCCCACATTCCACAATCTCATATACCCACAGTCCTACAGTCCCACAGTCCCACAGACCCACAGACCCTCATCGCCCCCACAGGCCCTTGCAAGTCCCCACAAGCCCCATCCGTCTCCCTAACCTGTCTGGTTTCTTTGGGGAGTGGGGTGAGATGGGGTGGGTCTGCAGCTCTGAGGGGCTGGGTCGAGGCCAGCCTGTGCCTGAGGTTCCTGTCTGACCTCAGACCCCTTCCTGGCACTGCTGTCTGCCCTCTGGGTCCTCCAGAGGTGCAGTAAGTGGACCTGGTTCCCAGAACCTGACCCAGGAGCCCGTGGCTACGGCAGGGTTGCTGAGGTGGTGGCGGGGCGTGGCCAGCCCGTCTGGCCAAGCCGGGTGAAGGTTGGGGATGGGGGAAGGCATGCCAAATGTTTTCTGTTGGAGCCAGTAGACTGTGCTGACACCCTCAGCAGGACAGGGGACACTTGGGTCCCCCGTGAGCGGAGCTGCTGCCTGGGTCTGCTCCTCCCATAGAGCTGTGGGCTCCACTGCTTCTGGGGCCTTCTGGGAAGGGAAATCTGGGTGATGCCTCCCAGTCTGGGGCGTTCCAGATGCTGCCACTGCAGAGGAGGGGGTGGGACGCCTCCTGCTGTGCTCCGGCAGCCTCCAGGGCCCCAGTTTCTACCAGGAGTCTCCAAGCAGGGATCTCAGCTCAGGGTCTGTGGAGGTCCAAGCAGGCGGATGGAGGCCTGAGGAGATGCCCCCCAGGATGGGAGGGCCTGGCAGCCCCAGTTCCCTCACTGGGTCCCCTCCCCGACTGGGGCCCAGAGGCAGGAGCCCCCAAGACTGACAGCAGGTGTGTGTGTGTGTGTGTGTGTGTGTGTGTGTGTGTGTGTGTTTGTGTGTGAGTGTTAGGATCTGCTGTCCCAGCAGCGGGTGAGAGGGGTGGTCCTGCTGCCCCTGCTTTCTGGGCCTTGGGGAGACTCTAACTGACCGTGTCTGCAACGCCACGCCAGCCTGAGTCACGCACACACCCCACTTCTGGGGCCCCCGACAGGACTCAGTGTGCGTCAAGCGCCCAGGATGTGTCCCTGACTCACCAGGAAACCTACAGGGCCCTTGGAGCTGGCACCTGCGGCTGCCACACGCTGGTGTCCTGACCCCCGGTCTCTGAACCCCTGGTACCCTGGTCTCTGGCCCCTTAAGCCTCGGATCCCTTTTCTCTTGATCTCTCTCTGATCCTGAACCCCTGGTCCCCAGGCTCTGGTCCCCTGGTCCTGGTCACGACAGAGCGGTCCGGGATCGGAGGGCAGAGTGGGGGCTCTGCCGAGTACCACCCAGAGGGGGGCCCATGGCTCATCTGCCAGTGTGGCCTCAAACCTAGAGCATCAGAGTGCAGACACTGCCAGGGTGTCAATGCACAACAGGACCATGAGCAGGAGCCCGGGAGATGGGCTCGAGCGAAGGGGTTTGGTGTCTCGAGGGGTGGGGGGCAAGGACTGGGGGCTAGAACACGTGTGGCTGGCGTCTGGAGGGGCGCGGCTGAGGTTCCTAATGAGTCTGGGAGAAACCTGATGGCCCTTGGCTGAGCGCCACAGTCAGTGTCGAGCTGAGGCCTGAGGGGCAGGTGGGCCCAGGGAGGGTGCAGAGCAGGGGGCTCACAGGCCCTGCCCCCCTGCCCACCTCTGTCCCTCCTGCGGGCCCCTCGTGCTCCCATCTGGGTGGGCCCCGGTTGGGTGGGGCGGGGATGCTGCCACACTGCCCTGTGCCCGGTGCTGGGGACGCCAGGGCCAGGAGGGCCAGCCTGGAGCTGGGACTGCCGCAGGGGGGACTTCCCGTTCCCTGAGGGGATTGGGGTGGTGGGCTCAGTCTGGAGTTGGGGACACCCTGGTGGGCACCACTGGGGGTCTCAGGGCCCTGGGGGGACAGCAATTAGAGGTTGATCTCGAGGGACTGTGGTGGGAACAGGCCTTCCCCACGCCCCCGTCCCCCCTCCCCCCAGATCCCCACACTGGCTCCTGAAGGTTCTTCTAGGGGTGCAGTCTCTCTCTGGATCTCTCCAGATTGTTCCGGAAGCCCAGCTCCTTGCCGGGGGTGCTGCCCTCCCCATCTGGCTGCGGTCAGGCCTTCCTCGGGCCCTGCAGACACACATTCCTGCCGGCGGGCGCTGACTCACAGGCCTTCACCTGCCCGCAGCCTCCTGACACCCCCTCCTGCCGCCCGTGGCCTCTTCCTGGTGAGGTGGCCTGGCCCCGCCTGCGCCCACAGGCCTCCACACGAGGGGCTTTCCAGCCCAGACTCCAGCTGTGTCCGCTGGACCTCGCCCTGATCCTCTTTGCTGGGGACCCCCACCCCCACTGCCAGGGCTGGCTCCAGCCTGCAGCTCTGCAGCGCCGGCCCCTCCTGCAGGCTGCCTGAGCTCACCGGGCCGGGCGGTGGGGGGGCATCCTGTCTGGGGTGGGGTGCAGTGGCGCCTTGGGTGTGCCCCTGGATTCCTGGCCCGCCCCGCCTGGGAGACGCCCAGCGGGATCCCAGGTGAGCCGTGCTTAAAGGCAGAGTGGAGCCTGCAGCCCAGGGGAGGAGCCGGGCAGGAGTCAGGTAAGGACCCGGCTGGGGCTACGTCCCGGGGGGCCCGGTCCCAGCCCTCCGCTCTCTCCCCCGGCTTTCCTCGAGTGGACTGCCGCTGAGAGGCAGTTCCCTGGGGGGAGGTGGGTTCAGGTGTGCGGCCAGCACTGCCGGGGCAGGACGGGCAGCAGGCGGGGCACAGACTGCCTACAGGGCTGCGTGTGCCCGTGGGGCAGGGCTGTGGGCCTGGGGTTGAGGAAGCTCAGGCCCGCTGTGCCCTGGCAGTGCACATGGTTGTCTTGGGCAGGGCTCCCCACAGAAGAATGTCTTTCTTCTTATTGTTGTTCGGGGGGTTCTGAGGGATGCCGAGTGGGCCCAGGGCCCTCCTGGAAGCTCAAGCTCAGGGCAGAACCTCGAATCAGGTGTCGAGCTGGGTTCGCAGTGCACAAAGCTCCGGGCCCCTGCTCGGGGCTCTCCAGCCCTGTTTGACTGTTTTGTGACGCTTTGGAGGCCCCCATGGTGTGCAGCAGGCCAGGCTCAGTCGGCCTGGTAGGTCAGTACTTGGCCCTCAGGTGCTGGGGGCTGCTAGGGCCAGTCAGGGGTGCTTGGGGCTCCCCCACTTCTGACACTTGATAACCTGGAGCTGGGTGCGACATCCACGTCACAGTCTCTGGGCTCTCTTGGGGCTGTGGCTAGTCCTAAGAGGGCCCAGGCAGGCCCGTCTCCCTCCCCTGCAGGGCTTCCCCAGTGTCCTGCAGGGATCAGAGGACAGAGCCAGCACAGCCTTTCCGGGGGTCCAGGCAGGGACCCTGGCACCTGCCGGCTGGAGCAGGGTTGGCTCCTGCATGTTTCATGTGACTGGGTCACTCTGTCCTCTTAGGTGATGTCCACCGGATGGAGCTCAGGATGAGGCCGTTTCTCCTGCTGTGCCTGTGTGAGTGTCCCCAGCCCTCCCTGGGGGACAACTGTGCAGCCCCCCAGAGGCACCAGGGGGCCCCCTGTCCCTGCCCGAACTCTGTGGCCACCTTGCCTTTGACGTGAGGTCTAGGCCCCAAGATTGGTAGGCAGGGGTGGAAATCAGTGTGGGGCCATGCCCTAGACCTGCGGACCCCTTTGCGCCCTGGTTCTCAGGGTGCACCCCCAGAACCTGCCATCCTCCCCCCCCCCCCAAGAGGGGTGACGAGGGAGTGATCGGGCCTGGCCCAAGCTCTGAGCTGTGTCCTGACTGGCCCCATGATTCCAGTGCTCCCCAGTGCCCGGGCCACGCAGCAGGCTTGCTCGCGTGGGGCCTGCTACCCACCCGCTGGGGACCTGCTGGTCGGCAGGACGCGCCTCCTCCATGCCTCGTCCACCTGCGGCCTGAGCAAGCCAGAGACCTACTGCACCCGGTACAGCGAGGTACGCCGGGCTCCCGCGAGAGAGCTCACCCCGGGCAGGCCTCTCCTGTACCCGGAGGCACGAGAGCTTCGTGGGTAAGGCTGTGGGACACAGGCCGCCGTGCTGGTTGGGGTCCAGCCTTGGTGCTATGAAGGTGCTGTACCTACTCAGGGTCTGCCCCTCTGCCGGCCGGCCACAAACAAGCTGCTGAAGGTTCCGGATCTCAGCATCGATTTCTGGGCGGCTGTGGGGCCTGAACCTGGGGTGCCTTGGGAGGTGTGTCTGTGTGAGGACCGTGGGAATTTGGGCTCCAGCAAGTCTGGCCGAGTCCTGCCTGGCACTTGGGGCGTTTCACTGCTCAGTGCGGGCAGAAGCCACCGCGGGTCAGCTGCCGGGGCAGGGGCTGGGCTCTGCAACCCTGTCTGCCCCCTAATCCTTACTGACCGTCCTCACCCTCCCTTTCTGGGGGCCTGGCATTCCCAGCCGCTCTAATGACAGCCCTGGGTACACTAGGGTGGAGCTGTGCCCGCTGAGCGGCCCCTGCCTCTGCAGTCGGGCTGATGTGCAGGGGAAGGGCACCGGGGCCCACCTGCCAGCAGGGGGGCGGTGCAAAACACCCAGCTGTGGAGGTTGTGCAGAGCCCCCAAGCAGACCCCGAGGGGCTGCCAGAACGAGAGGGGGCGGCGGGCGAGGTGCGGATGCGGCGGGTGGGCTTCGTGTGGGCATCCCCGGATGGGCCGGGCGTGCGGGAGGTCCGGGCGCCACTGCACGCCCCGCTGGCTGCTAGCCTGCCCGACCCTGGACGCCCCGGCGGGTCTTCAGACCTGGGGCGCCGGCTCGCCGAGGCTCGGGCTGCCCCGGGGAAGGGAGAAGCCCCGCCAAGGGCCGAGCTGTCCCACCACGACAGGACGAGGACGCGCAGGCCGAGGGGGGTGCGTGCGCAGTGCAGGGGGGGTTGCTGGGCCTCTGGGGTCCGCGAGCGGCCTCGGGGGCAGACGTGGGCGACGCGGTCGCACTCGGACCCGGGGCCTGCAGATGAGAGGGGTCTGCGGCCAGTGCCTCGGCCACCTCGGAGCGGGGCGTGCTACGGAGCCGAGCGGACCGAGGGGGACGGAGCGGGGCTGAGCCGAGCCGAACGGGGCCGAGTCTGGCCGAACGGGGCCGAGCGGGGCCGAGCCGAGCCGAACGGGGCCGAGCGGGGCCGAGCGGGGCCGAGCGGGGCGGGGCCGAGCGGGGCTGAGCGGGGCGGGGCTGAGCGGGGCGGGGCGAGGCCGAGCGGGGCGGGGCCGAGCGGGGCGGGGCCGAGTGGGACCGAGCGGGGCGGGGCCGAGCCGAGCCGAGTCGAGCGGGGCCGAGCCGAGCGGGGCCGAGCCGAGCGGGGCCGAGCCGAGCGGGGCCGAGCCGAGCGGGGCCGAGCCGAGCGGGACCGAGCCGAGCGGGGCCGAGCCGAGCCGAGCCGAGCCGAGCCGAGCCGAGCCTCTCCGCGGCCCGGCGGGGAGGGCGCGCTCCGGCCCCGCCTCGGCGCGCTGGCGGGCGCGCGGGCAGCTCTTCTCCCGGGCCTGGCCGGCAGCCACGACCTTGGCCATGGCTCCTGGCTCGACGCGGGCGTCCCGGCGCGCTCACGGAAGTAACGGGCAGCCAGGCCGGCGCCGCCTTCCCGCGTCCCCGCGATTCGCCGGGCGCCGCAGAGCGCTGGCCCCGCTCTGCTCCAGCTGCGCCGCTGCCCGCCCCGCCCCGGGAGGGCCGGAGCTTTGGAAAGCCCCGGGTCGGGGTCGGGAGCAGACTTTGGGGAGTGAGAGCAGGCCCGCCCAGCCTGCCAGAAGGGGCCCTGGGCACCGAGCTCCAGGCTCCTTCCGGCCCGGTACCGGGAGATACTCGGGTACCACCTGAGCGGATGGGCCCCTGCTGACACCACCCGTGTGGCACACACGGCACATCCATACGCATGACCCACACACTACACCCTCCATGCACGCGTGCACATGTATCCGTACACACCACCTACACATTACATACATGTGCACACAAACGCACACTGCAACCACACGGTACACACATAGGCACACCAACACACATACGTTCACACACAATGCACCCACGTGATACATGTACACAACCGACCCACAGGCATTCACATATAATGCACCCACACGGCACACGTGCGCACACAGACTCATGCATCCACATACAATGCACCCACATGGTATACACATGTACATGCTGACTCACCAGCATCCACATACAATGCACACATGGCAAACACGCACACACGGACTCACATGCATCCACATACAATGCACCCTCACGCCACACACCTATGCGCACAGACTCACATGCATTCACATGCGATGTAACCACACAGACTGCACGTGAGGCCACACACGCACACACAACACACAACACACACACGTATCCCCCAGTTCACTCAGGAGGCCAGTCCCTGTGGGTCACTGTGGCCAGGCCCCTGTCGTGCTTCCAGGAACATTTGCCGGAGTGCCGGGTGGCGCAGGCAGAGCCTGGGGCTGGCAGTGCCAGAGCCGGATCTGGAAGCAGAGCCCAGCTGCGGCGTTGCCTAAAGAGGCCACCGCAGTCTGGCACCGAGACAGCTGCAGGATCCCTGTCACAGGCGGGGAGTCAGGAAGCAGCCCTCTTCCGAGTGCTCTTGGCTCGGCCGCTCAGTCACCTGCTGGGAAAGAGTCCAGGACGTGGGGAGAGGGAGCCACACACACGCACGCGCGCACACACACACACACACACACACACAATGAAAGGGAGAGTTAGAGGGACGAAGTAACAGAGACACACAGCTGGAACAAGAGATAGAGACAGGAATAGAGTCACAAGACGGCACATGCGTTCATGCATATGCACACGCAGGCAGCACACTCATGCACTTGGGATCGTGTGTGCAACATGTCTTGTTGTGTGCATGCAGTCACACACACACCTTTCGCAGACACACTTGCATGTGCTATCTGTGCATGCGAGCAATGCAGGTGTGTGCCCTTGCACTCATGTTACCATGGAGGTGTGTGCTGCGTGCACAAGCGTGCTTTGGACCCGTCTGGGGGTGTAGCCTCTCTGTTTCGCTGGGGGTCTCCTTCGCAGACCAGGGCAGGGTGGCTTCTGGGGGGCTGGTCCTCTCCTGGTCCAGGCCCTGGGAAAGAGCTCTGGGTCCCTCCCTCCAGACTGCCCTTGTCCTGCTTATTCTGGGGTCACGGTTGCCCTCTTCGGGTGGGGTTGCTGAGTGGAGCGGGGCCCCCCTCCCCACCCCGGTCCCCCTTCCCTGCGCGCCGCCGACTGGCCCTGCCTGTCTCTCTCTTGCCCCCTAGTGGCAGATGAAATGCTGCAAGTGCGACTCCAGGCTGCCCCACGGCTACAACAGTCACCGCGTGGAGAATGTGGCTGTGTCCTCCGGCCCCGGACGCTGGTGGCAGTCCCAGAATGGTGAGGCCGGCCCCCAGGGTCTCTCGTCCAACGGGTCAGGCGGGCCCTCGGCCCCAGCACCCTGCGGAGGGGCCGAGCCAGGGCGTCCTGAATGTCACCTCTGCCTGTTCCCCCGCAGATGTGAGTCCCGTCTCGCTGCAGCTGGACCTGGGCGAGAAGCTGCAGCTGCATAACATTGGGATGCACTTCAAGGTGACGGCCAGCGGGGGGCGCCCTACCTCTGCACCCGTCCCCGCCCTTCCGCCCCGCTGGCTGGTGTGGGGACCCCTGTGGGGGCGCGCGGGGTGGGGGGGAGGCGCAGAGCCCAGGGTCCTGGAGGTCCGGAATGCAGGGCCACGCTTCCTGCCTCCTTCCTGGGACCGGGCGGGTGCCGCCTGCTCCAGCTCGCCTCCCTCTCCCCGCAGGGGCCGCGGCCAGCTGGGCTGCTGATCGAGCGCTCCTCGGACTTCGGCCGGACGTGGCGGGTGTACCAGTACCTCGCAGCCGACTGTGCCGCCGCCTTTCCGCGAGTGCGCCAGGGCCGGCCGCAGAGCTGGGGCGATGCACGGTGCCAGGCGCTGCCCCCTCTGCCCCCCGGGCGCCCCGACATGGGGCAGGTAGGTGGGTGTGGTCCTTCACACGTCTCCCACCAGATTCCCAAGGGGAGGCAGTGGGGGGGCAGCACCTGGCACCCTGGGAACGAGGGGACGAGCGCCTGTTGGTTCCCGCTCGGGACAGGGCTGCCTGCTTTCAGTGCAGGGCTGCAAAGTCCGGCACGCACAGGCACACGTATATGCACGCACACACGCGTGAACACACGCACACACGTGCACACAAGTACAACACACGTGCATGTACACATGCACTCATGTGTATACACACTACTGCCACGCACATATACCTGCACACATGAACACATAGACACACACGTGCACACAGCACAACTGTGTAGGCGTGTACGTGTGCACACATGCATACACGCTACTGCAACAGATAAGTGCACATGCATGCGTACATATGTGCAACACACAACACCCACATAATGCACACACATACACACATGAGGGCAACACACACGCGTGCAACACAGGCACACACGTGCAACCACACATGCGCACATCACAGCAGTGTCTGTGAACAGGCTCCTCTGGGCTGGGAGCGTGGGCCCACCCACCACCCACAGGCCCTCTTCCGGGGTGAGCCTGGGCCTCCTGGCTGGCTGGTGCCACACTGCGACTCCCTCTCACCCCCAGGTCCAGCTCAACCTCCTGGACTTGGCCGCTGGGATCCCTGTGACACAGAGTCAGAAGCTGCGTGGTGAGTGAGGCCGCCTGCCCACCCGACCGGGGCTCTTGCGAGGTGGCGGGGCTGGGGTGCGGGGGGCGGCCTACCACCCACTGACGCCCTCCTCTGTCCTCAGAGCTGGGTGCCATCACCAACCTGAGGGTGAACTTCACCAAGCTGGCCCCAGCGCCCCAGCACGGCTACCACCCCCCCAGCACCTACTTCGCCCTGTCCCAGCTGCGCCTGCAGGGCACCTGCTTCTGCCACGGCCACGCAGACCGCTGTGCGGCCCCGCCCGCTGCCCCTGCTGGCCCGTCCAGCGCCGTGCAGGTGACAGGCCGGGGGACACGGGGGGCAGGCTGCTGGGGGCGGGGGCAGTGCAGGGTGCTGACACACGGACGGGCCACACAGACGCAGCACAAACACAGCACACAGCACACAGACACACATGGACACTCAGACACACACAGAAACAGACACACACAGCACAGACACACAGACACACACAGAAACACAGACACTGCCCGTGATCCCCAGGACACACAGGCAGCAGCAGCTGGGGGGTGGGAGCTGGGGGACGCCTGACCCGTGGCCCTTGCAGGTGCACGGCGTGTGTGTCTGCCAGCACCACACGGCTGGGCCCCACTGTGAGCGCTGCGCACCTCTGTACAACAATCGGCCCTGGAACCCCGCTGAGGACCGGGACCCCCACGAGTGCCAGAGTGAGTCGAGCCCTGATGCAGGGCTGCCCCTGCCCGCACCTCTGTCCCCGGCCGCCCCGTCTCCGCCTCCTGTGCCCCACCCCCGTCCCGCCACTGCCCTCCCTCCTCCCTCCTCCCTCCTGTCTTCTGTTCCCTGCCCTCCACCCGTGCCCCATCGTCCTCTGTCCCCCGTCTTCCCGCGCGCCTCCCCCAGCCGTGCCCTGGACGCCCCCTGCCTGTGGGGGACTGTTTGTGCTCCCACGTTCGCAGTCCTGCCATGACTCTCGCTGTGGGGGTGGGTCCGGACCCATTGGGGCCCTCTGTGGGAGTGGGGGCCGGGGTCCCCACTGCGGACGGCGGCTGGTCCTCAGCCCCCGCCTCTCGCAGGGTGTGAGTGCCATGGGCATGCAGAGAGCTGTCACTTTGACCCGGATGTGTTCGCTGCCAGCGGCGGCACCGAGGGGGGCGTGTGCGACAACTGTGACCACCACACCGAGGGTCGCCACTGCGAGCGCTGCCAGCTGCACTTCTTCAGGAACCGGCGCCCCGGCGCACCCCCCCAGGAGGCCTGCATCCGTGAGTGGGTGCAGGGAGGGTCGGGGCCGGCACCCGTGGGCGGGCGAGGGACCTGGCACGGGGCAGCCTGGGCTCTGGGTCTCCTCCGTGGGGTGCTGGGGAAGTGTGGCCCCTCACCCGCCCCGCCTGGCAGGGAGCTCAGGCTCTGTCTTTCCTCTCCGCCCCGTCCCCAGCCTGCGAGTGTGACCCCGATGGAGCCGTGCCGGGGGCGCCCTGTGACCCCCTGACAGGCCACTGCGTGTGCAAGGAGCATGTGCAGGGAGAACGCTGCCACCAGTGCCGGCCCGGCTTCACCGGGCTCAGCGGCTCCGACCCGCGCGGCTGCCGGCGTGAGTGGGCTGGGCTGGGGGCCAGGAGGGGCTGCGGGGCCCCGGGCACGGCGCCGGGACAGTGCTGGGGTCTGGCTCCCTGGGCAGGGGCGTGGGGTCCCCTGCTCAGCAGCCCTCCCGCCCTCCAGCCTGTGACTGTGACCCCCTGGGCTCCCGGCGGGATCTGCCGTGTGACGAGGAGAGTGGGCACTGCCTGTGCCTCCCCCACGTGCTGGGCCCCCGCTGTGACCAGTGTGCCCCCAACCACTGGAAGCTGGCCAGCGGCCAGGGCTGTGAGCCATGCGCCTGTGACCCCCAGCACTCCCTGAGCGCCCAGTGCCACCAGGTCAGTGCCCCCCCGGGCCACCGCAGCCAGGCTGGTGCTCTGACTGTGCCCTCACGGGTCCCCACGTGTCCCCTCGCTGCTTCCGGGCCTTCTGGGTTGGTCTGGGCGCTGCTCAGGCGCCCTCCGGCCTCAGTTCACAGGACAGTGTCCCTGTCGCGAGGGCTTTGAGGGCCGGACGTGCAGTGCTGTGGCTGCTCGCCAGTGTCCAGACCGGACCTACGGGGATGTGGCCTCCGGGTGCCGAGGTGGGTGCTCCCCAGTGGGTGCGGGCGGGGCTGCTGGGTAGCTCGTGGTGGGGCCCAAGCTCAGCCACCCCCGGTCCAGGCTGTGGCCCCGCGTCTCTGTGCCCTGTCCCCACATGGCCACTTGCGGTCCGGACCCCCGGAGGTCTTCTCTGGTCCAGCCCGGGCATGGGAGGAGGAGGCTGAGGCCAGGGAGCCGGGATGCTGGAACACACAGTGCCGGCAGCACCTGCCCCCAGGGCGACACGGGCCCTCCCTGTGTTTGGACCTGTGTGTGCCCCGGCCACCCTGACCTAGCCCTGTCTTTTTGTCGCCCAGACTGTCAGTGTGACTTCAGGGCCACCGAGGGCCCTGGGTGTGACAAGGCCTCGGGCCGCTGCTTGTGCCGCCCGGGTGTGACTGGGCCCCGCTGTGACCAATGTGAGCGTGGCCACTGCGACGGCTTCCCGGGCTGCCCGGCCTGCCACCCCTGCTTCCACACCCACGACGCTGAGCTGCAGGCCCAGGCCTGGCGACTCGGTGGCCTCCGCAATGCCACGGCCAGCCTGGGCGCTGGCTCGGGCCCGGGGGACCGTGGCCTGGCCGCCCGCCTCCAGGCTGCCCAGAGCCAGATGGAGCAGCTGCAGATCACGCTGGGCCGCGCCAGCGTCACCGAGCAGGAGGTGACCCAGCTGGCTGGCACCGTCTTCACCCTCAGGTACCCCCGCGTGCCGGGGCTGCGGCTCAGTGCTGCGTCCTGCCAGTGGCCGTGGCTGCCCGGCAGGTGTCAGACAGGTCCCTGGGGAGGGGCCTCGCAGGCCACAGGACACCCTCTGAACTCCACGGCCCGGACCCCCACCCCCCACTCATGGGACTCCACCCAGCAGCCCAGAGGGTGGAGATGAGTCTGCACCCGGCTTTCGGGGGCCTGGGCTGGGCTGGGCCCTAGGCTCAGGGAGTCACGGGATGCAGGGGACAGGCAGTGGGGACGGACAGACAGGGGGACAGACAGTGGGGACGGGACGGACAGAGAGGGAGACAGACAGTGGGGACAGACAGACAGCTGGGATGGACAGATGGGAGGACAGACAGACGGGGAAAGACAGACAGGGGGACAGACAGTGGGGACGACAGTCAGAGGGACAGACAGGGGAACAGACAGGCAGGGGAATGGACAGACAGCTGGGATGGACAGACAGCTGGGACGGACACACAGGGGGACGGACAGATGGGAGGACAGACAGACAGGGGGACAGACAGTGGGGACGGACAGACAGGGGGACAGACAGACAGGGGGACAGACAGATAGCGGGACAGACAGACAGGGGGGATGGACAGATGGGAGGACAGACAGACGGGGAAAGACAGACAGGGGGACAGACAGTGGGGACGACAGTCAGAGGGACAGACAGGGGAACAGACAGGCGGGGGAATGGACAGACAGCTGGGATGGACAGACAGCTGGAACGGACACACAGGGGGACGGACAGATGGGAGGACAGACAGACAGGGGGACAGACAGTGGGGACGGACAGACGGGGACAGACAGACAGGGGGACAGATAGATAGCGGGACAGACAGACAGGGGGGATGGACAGATGGGAGGACAGACAGACTGTGGGACAGACAGCTGGGATGGACAGACAGGGGTACAGACAGACGGGGGCAGACTGGGGCGCAGTGGGCAGGAAGCAGCCCCCAGCCCTCAGGCGAGGCTGAGTCAGTGGGAAGTCAGGGGGCGTCCTTCTGTGTGTGGCTGACGGGGTCCCGGGCCCCCGCCTGTCTCAGGGAGACCCTGCAGGCCCTGCGGCTGGAAGCCCCCCTGGAAGAGGAGAGCCTGGGTCTGCGGGGCCGGCTGGAGGGCCTGGACGGCAGCTTCCACAGCCTCCTCCGCCTCTACCAGGACAAGCGGCAGCAGCTCGAGCGGCTCAGCAGCGGTGACCCCTCCGGTAAGGGACCACCAGCACCTGGTCCGCAGACCCCCCTCGCTTATCTGTCCCCACTGTCTGTCTGTCTGTCCCCCTGTCTGTCTGTGCCTCTGTCTCCCTGTTCCCGCGCCCCCACCTCCCATCTCCCGTGCCCCCTTCCCCTCTCTCCCAGGTGCCCTCCGTGTGCTGGCCGGGGCTCGTGCCCGCTCCGCGCAGGCCGCCGAGCGGGTGGCGGACAGCTCCCTCCAGCTGCTGCGCGTCAGGGACAGCCACCGGGAGGCGGAAGCGCTGCAGAGACGGGCGGGGGGTGCTGCCGGCCCTGGGGGTGCCCAGCTGGCTTCCCTGCAGCTGCAGATGGCGGCCCTGCCCAACCTCACCCCCACCATCAACCAGGTGAGGCCGCAGGTGCCCACCCTGCCTACCCTGTCCTCTTGCTCGCCCTCTCAGTCGCCCTCCTGTGCCCGGGCTTCTGCGGCCACTGGGGTCCAGCCCCCGCCTGACCCCCTCCCTCTGGCCCGCACTGTTGCCAAGGAGACTGGCTGCTGGGCCGGTTGCCAAGGAGACACAGGCTCAGGCCGCAGGCGTGGGGTCGGGCATGGATGCATCCTCGCCCCTCTCCTTGCAGCTCTGTGGGGGCTCGAGGCAGACGGCCTGTACCCCCGGGGCATGCCCCGGCCAGCTCTGTCCCCGGGACAACGGCACAGACTGCGGCTCCCGCTGCCAGGGTGCCCTCCCCAGGGCAGGCAGTGCCTTCAGCTCGGCGACGAAGGTGGCCGCACGGCTGCAGAACCTGGACACTCAGCTCCAGCAGACGCGGCACATGGTGGGTCGGCCCGCGGGTCTGCGGGGGCTAGGTGGGGGCCGTGTGGGCACCGGGAGCACCGGGACGGGATCACGGGGGCATTGTGGGGAGTGGGAGCACCGGGATGGGAGCACAGGGGCCATGTGGGGACCGGGAGCACCGGGATGGGAGCACAGGGGCATTGTGGGGACTGGGAGCACTGGGATGGGAGCATGGGGGCTGTGTGGGGACCGGGAGCACCAGGATGGGAGCACGGGGGCTGTGTGGGGACTGGGAGCACCAGGAAGGGAGCAGGGGGGGCCATGTGGGAATCGGGAGCATCAGGACGGGAGCACAGGGGCATTGTGGGGACTGGGAGCAGGGGGGCATTGTGGGGCTCTGACTGCCCTCATGGCTGACCGGCTCTTGGGACAGATCCGGGCCACCGAGGAGGCTGCCCTGCAGGTGCAGTCAGACGCGCGGCGCCTGGAGACGCAGGTGAGCACCAGCCGTGCGCACATGGAGGAGGACTCCCGGCGAACGCAGCTGCTCATCCAGTGGGTGAGAGACTTCCTCACAGGTACGGTGGCCCGGCCTGGTGCGGCTCTCCCTGTCTCCCGTCCCTGGTGTCTCCCAGCTCCTCCTCACACTCTCACTCCCTTTGCATCCTCGAGATCGTATCCTTGAGTACTCCCTGGTAGTGCTCCCCTAGAGTCCTAATAGTGCTCCCCAGTGAGTTCCCTCCTAGACTCTCCCGGACAGTGCTGAAAGGGCTCCCTCATCAGTGCCGTCCTGGAGGTGCTCTCTGAGGTGGGCGCCCCTCCAGGGGGAAGCTCTTCGGGACAAGCGTCCTTCCCGCCTGGCTGGGGAGGCCGGTGGTGGGCGGAGGGGTGGTGGTCTCACGGGTCCGAACACGGCGTGGCCCTTGAGCAGTGCAGGACTCGGTCCCCGTGCCTGTGGGTGGGCAGGAGGGCTGTGCTGTGGGGGCGGCCTGGGGCAGCGCCTGCTCGGAGCTTCTCACTCCCCTGCTCCGTGCGGCAGCTTCATCCCAAGTGCAGCCCACAGGGGCCCCCTCAGGCCCCCGAGGTCCGCGGGAGGGACGGGGGGTGCGGCCTGGGCTGCCCACCGTGGCTCTGCCTTCCAGACCCCGCCACGGACGCAGGCAGCATCGCGCGGGTGAGCGGGGCCGTGTTGGCTTTGCGGCTGCCACCTGCCCTGACCGCCGTGCGGCAGAAGATGGAGGAGGTGCGGGCCCTGGCGGCCCGGCTCCCCGACGTGGGCCTGGTGCTGGCGCAGACCCAGCGGGACATCGAGCGAGCGCGCAGGCTGCAGGCGGAGGCGGAGCAGGCCAGGTCGCCGCAGGGCCCGGGGTGTGGGGGGCAAACGCGGAGGGGAGGGGAGGGGGCTGCGCCATCGGGGATGGTCCTCATGCCGGGGGCGCAGCGTGGGGCGAGGAGCTGGGGCGGGGGTTCCTGTTGGGTGCTGCCCCTCACGGGCCTTTGCTCCCAGGGGCCGGGCCCAGGCCGTGGAGGGACGGGTGGCGGACGTGCAGGGCAGCCTGCGGCAGGGTGGTGTGGCGCTGCAGGAGGCGCAGGAGAGCATGCGGGGCACCAGCCGCTACCTGGGGCTCCTGCAGGAGCGAGTGGCCGAGGTGAGCGGCTGGGCGGCAGAGGGGGGTGGCGGGCCCCGCGCGGGAGCCGGCCCGTGGCCGCAGGAAGGCCCAGCTCTGGCGGACTGTGGTGCCAGGCTGGTGTCCACGGGCTCTTCCCAGGTCCAGCAGGTGCTGGGTCCAGCGGGACGGCAGGTGACAGGCATGGCGGAGCAGCTGAGAAGCTTCCGGGCACAGCTGGAGGAGCTGGGCCACCAGGCCGGGGAGCAGCGGGCCGGGGCGGCCGGGGCTCAGCAGCTTGCCGCGGAGGCCAGGCAGCGGGCCCTGGACGCCCAGGAGGTAGGGCGGTGGCAGGCCTGTGGGGGTGGGGAGGGCATGTCTGCTCCCCGAGGCGCAGGGCAGCAGGGGAGCTGGCGAGGCGCCTGCCCGGGGCCAGGCAGTGAGGACAGGGCGGGCACCAGTGCCTTCCCGGCCCGGCTCGGCCAGCTCCGCCCCTGCAGGCCCGCGATCTTGTCAGGGCCGGCCTGGGCACAGGCTCAGCGAGGTGGAGCCCAGAGGCAGGGCTGGACCCGAGATTCGCCCAGCTGCCTGCTGCTTTGGGTGAACTTGAGGTTCCTGGCACTTTCGGGCTCGATGCCGGTGACCCCAAGCGCCCCGTGCACAGGGATTCGAGAGGGTCAAGCGCAAGTATGCGGAACTGCAGGAGCGACAGGGCGGGGCCGCCCCACTGGGGGCGCAGGGAAGCCGGATCCTGAGCGTGAAGATGGAGGCTGAGGAGCTCTTCGGGGAGACGGTGGAGATGATGGAGCGGATGCGAGGTGAGGCCGGGCCTCTGGGGCTTTCGGCACGGGACCGAGCAAACGGCTGCGCTGGGCCGTCCTGCTACCCGAGTGTGGGCAGGGAGCACGGGAGACTGCTCTGGGGGTGGCCCCGGCTTGGAATTTGACGTCACAGGGTCCCTAACATCCCGGATCCCTACAGTCCTGAGGTCCTTCACACTTCGGGGTCCCCCACATCCTAGGTCCCCTAGTATCTGGGATCCCTGACATCTCAGAGCCCCTCATATCTGGTATCTCCAATGTTCTGGGGCACCTCTCATCCTGGGGTCCCTAAAGTTTGGGATCCTAAACATCCAGGGTCTCTAACACCCCAGGGTCCTCCATATCCTAGGGTCCCTAATCCCCCGGGGTCCCTAGCATCCTTGGCCCCAGACGCTAGGCCCCTCATGGCTCAGGGGCCCATGCTCTGATGCCCACACCTCTAGGTAGGGTGAGTGTCCGACAAAGTATGCAAGTGACCTGGGGTGATCCTGGGAGGCTGGAGAGTCAGGCAGGACCCAGGACAGGCCTGAGCGGCCACCATGTCCTGACAAGGCAGACATCGGGGTCTGACTCCGCAGGGACATCGTGATGGTGGGGGGGAGAGACCGCTCCCCAGAAGGAAGAGGGCCTCAGGGGACAGGCTCTGCCCCTAGAGGTGACCACAGTGACCCTGCACTGGCCGGCCCACAGGTGCACAGATCCTGTCCTGGACTCTGACTGCCAGGGGAGGACGAGGTTTTCTGAATCTTCCAGAGTCCTGTGGGTCCTGGGGCGGGGACAGGCTCGGGACAGCTCCAGGCGGGGGTGGGGAGACTCGGGGAGTCCCAGCTGCCCGTCTCTTTTGGCCCCGCCAGACATGGAGTCAGAGCTGCTGCGGGGCAGCCAGGCCGTCCTGCGGCGCTCGGCCGACCTGTCGGGGCTGGAGAGGCGTGTGGAGCAGCTCCGGGACCACATCAGCGGGCGCGTCCTCTACTATGCCAGCTGCAAGTGACCACGGGGACGGACGTGCCCGCGACCCCGTGGCCAGTCTCCCAGCCCCCAAGCAAGAGATGCTGTCCCAAAGAAAAGCCCAATAAAGCGCATCTGCTGTCTGTCCACAAGCGGCCCTTTGCGACTGAGTCTGCTTCCCACTGAGAGGCCAGCAGCGGCCTAGGGCCGCCCCTGCTCTGCCCACTGCCTGGTGACCATGTGCCACCCTCCCTCCGTCCTGGGAGGCTGGAGAGTCAGGCAGGACCCAGGGCAGGCCTGAGCGGCCACCACATCCTAACAAGGCAGACTCCGGGGTCTGGCTCTGCAGGGACATCGTGACGGTGGGCGGGAGGGATCAGCTCCAGCCTGGAGGAGTCAGAAGACAAGGAAAGAGCACCAGGGTCTGGCAGGTCTGTGTGCACGTGTGCCTACGTGTGTGAGTGTGTGTGGTTGCACGTTTGTGTACACACACATGTGTGCACATGTCCAGTCCACTCACATGCACTGTCTGTGGGCCATGGACATGCATGTGTCCACCATCTGCGCACGTGTGCAGACACTTCTGTGCAGCTGCACATTCATGTGTTCATGGGTCTGTGCACACACGTCTGTACACACATGAGCCTGTGCCCACACGTGTGTGTATGCGGACATGTGTGCACGTGGCTATGCTTGCATCTGTGCACATGCATCTGCAGGCACACAGATGAATCGGAGCCTTTACGTGTGTCCGCATGCATATATGTGCACGCATCTCTGTGTGCACACACACATCTTTGTGCCTCACAGGCATGTGTTCCTGCGTGCATGGATCTGCAGGAGTGAGCACATGTAGGACGGAGGAAGGGCACAGTCTGCTGCGCTGCCCCTTCTTCCCCGTGACCTCACGTCCTGCACTGCCTCCTGGACGCTGCTCTCCCATTCCTTGCGCTGCGGGCGGCCTGGCTGTCCCAGAGCTGAGAGGGTCAGGCCCAGGGACTGGGGCATGGGCTGTGCTCGCGCCTGCGACCCACAGTGCTGCTGAGGGCACATGGAGCCATCGAGGCTCCAGACGGCCCCAGGACCTCCTGCATGCGAGCCCGGGGCCTCAACCACAGCCAGGTCCCTCGTAGAGAAAATAAGTCCACTTTATTGACTGCAACACTGACTGCTGGAGGCGGAGGGTCTCACCCAGCGGGATGGGGGTGGTCAGGAGCTGGGGTGTCTTCTTGGCAGGAGGTGCTGCTGGGTGGGAGAGGGGGGTGGAGGGTCCCACAGTGCCAGGAGCTGACCTGGGTTGGGGCGGGGTCTGCGGGCAGTGCCCAAGGATGCCGGGCATGAGGCGGGTGGCAGGACGGGGCGGGCCTGGGCAGCGCTGGCTCCGTATGGCTTTGCCAACACCAGGGGCACACCGGGTTAGCCTGTGAGCTCCTCACAGCCAGAGACACTGACCTGGTGGCAGTGGCCTGGGCAGGGCAAGGGCGCAGAGTGGCGGGCTGCGGGCCGGGGCGCTGTGCGCCTTTGGCCCGAGGAGCCCCCCACACCCTCCTGCGAGAACGGAGAAGTGGCTGGTGGCCTGCAGAGGAGGGTCTGGGCAGCCCGGTCCTGGCCCCCTCGCCAGGGCTTGAGAGTCACTGCGTCACATGACCACACATACCCCCGCAGGTCCCACCCTGTAGTGGGCACCGGTCTTCACAGGCGCGGTGACCTCAGGCTTGAAGTTCCTGCAGTGGACACAGCCGTGGGGACCTGGGGGAGGCCTCCCGGGCAGCTCCTGCCTCCCCCCACCCCCCGTCCTGGGGCGCTCGCAGACTCCCCCAGCCCACGGCCCGCCAACGGGCCTCTGCGCGCGGCCGGAGGGTGCCCACCGCCCCCAGATCCGCGCAGTGGCCAGCCCGACCCCCACCCCCCACCCACTCCCGGCGGCCCCGCCACCTACTGTCTCTTGGTCCCCCGCAGGAGCGCGGGCTCCGAGCCGGCCGAGGGGCCTTTGCCGCCCAGGCCCAGGCAGCTGGCGCAGCAGCCGGGGGGCGCCGCGCCGGGGGGCGCCTGCCGCGCGGGCACCAGGCTGCTGCCCACGCGGAGCGCGCCGCTGACCAGGCGGCCCAGCGAGCGGCCGCGCGGGCGGCCCCGGCGCGGGCAGCGCGTCCGGGCCGGGGCCGAGGCCGGGGCCGGGGCCGGGGCCGGGCCGGGGCGGGCGGCGCTGCCGCGGGCCGGGGACGGCGCCCGCGTGACGGAGATCTCGGGGGAGCCGCGGCCCGGCGCGGGGAGGGCGGGGGGTCGCGCGTCCGGCGCGGGGAGGGCGGGGGGCCGCGCGTCCGGCGCGGGGAGCCCCGGGCTGTGCAGGGTCCGCTGCAGCTTCCGCATGTGGTGCACCACGGCCGCCGCGTTGAAGGCTTGCTGGGGGGCAGCGGCTCGGCTCAGGCCGGGACCCTCCGCCTGCGGCCCCGCCCCCGCGAGGCCCAGCCCGCCAGCCCCGCCCCAGCGTGGCCCCGCCCACAACCCCGCCCCGCGGCCCCGCCCGCAGACCACGCCCACTCGCGAGGCCCCGCCCACCAACCCTCGTCACAAGGCCCCGCTCACCAGCCCGCCCTTCGCGAGTCTCTGCCGGCCCCCGCGAGGCCCCGCCCACCCAGCCCCGCCCCCTCCGCGAGGCCCCGCCCCGCGAAGCCCCACCCACGCAGCCCCGCCCCTCTCGAGGCCCCACCCACCCCGCCTCGAGGCTCCGCCCACCAACCCGCCCCTCCGCGAGGCCCCGCCCACCCCAGGCCTGGTTCCAAGTTTCCGCCCACCTCGTCCCCGCCTCCACCACCACGCCCCGCCCACCAGCGCCCTGACCACGCCTCCCACATCCCTAGGCCCCGCCCTCTCCTACCTACCCTCCACTTGCTCTTGGCAAAGTTCTTCTGGATCTGGAGGCTGACGGAGGGGTAGATGTCCCTGAGCAGGGCTGTGTTTCCGTCAATCCTGCGGGGACAAGGGACAGTGGTGCTGGGTACTGGGCAGGTGGTTATCAGGACTTGGCAGCACCCGGGCTCCACTGTGGTGACACCCGAGAGTGGCCAGGAGTCGGGCTAGAGCGGGTGTGGCTGGTCCCACCCTCTGGTCATTCCCCTGAAGTGGACAGAGCAGAAGAGCCTAACGCTTTCAGGGACACAGGCCCTCAGGTCCAGGGCCACTGGGGCCCTTGTCCTCAGCTCAAGACTTTGCCACCACCTGGAAGGAAGCCTTCCCACATGCAAAGCCCACGCACCCCCTCTGCGTTCTCTGAACTCTGTGGGTGTAGGGCCTGCTCGGTGCACAGGACTCAAAGACACGCCAAGGGTGCCCCACCCACGCAGTGAGACAGTGGGAGTTCTGGGGAAAGAGGGGGGTCTGGGGCACAGGCACAGCCCTGGAGCCTGGCTCCCCCCCCCAAGTTGGAGCCAGGGCCCTGCGGGTGTGGAACGTGTCTGGCCCAATTGGGACAGGCCAAGGGCAGGGACCACCCAACCAGCCTCTGTTGGAGAGGACAGGACTGGACGCCTGGGGTGGCAGCTGGACCGTGGGTCAGTCCAGAGGAACTGGAGGCCACAGGGCCACAGAGATGGGAGTGGGGGTCATGGACTTGGAGCCCGGCATGTGCAGGGGGCTAGGGACCGGTCCTGTCCAATGCCTGCGTACCAGGGGTGCCGCAGGGCCTTGTCACACGTGTACCGCTCCTCCGGGTCCTTCTCCAGAAGGTGGCAGATGAAGTCCTTAGCTGCAGGAGCAGCAGAGAAACCCTCGAAACCACAACTCAGAGTCTCACGGAGACGTCAGGAGCCGGGGAGCAGTGTGGCCCAGCCTCCTACGGAAGCCTGCCCGGGAGGGGAGCCGCCAGCGGCCGTCCAGCCTGTCCCCTGTCCCTCTGCAGGCTGCCCCGGGCCTCACTGCCTCCTTCACTTGCTGGGTCTGCTGGATGTCAGTCAGGGCAGGGAATGGTGCTGGGCCTGCCCCGCCAGGGACGCTGGGTGAGCACTGCCCAGCTGAGCCCTCCCCCACGGTTACCCCCTGTGCTCTGGGTTCCCCAGGCCCAACTTGCCTGACTCAGAAATATCATCCCAGAAAGGCGACTCGAACTCGTAGTACCCCTCCTTGATCTTCTCAAAGAGCTTGGATTCCGTTTCCTCGTAGAAAGGGGGGTACCCACACAGCCTGCGGGGACGCCAGTACTGGCCATGTGGGCTGGGTGCTCCCTGCTTCCACGACTGGCCCTGTGGATGTAGGCATGCCGCCCCCACCCCGGCTGCCTCCCTGGCGCTGCTGTGGCTCGCGGGCACCTGTGGCCGAGAGGCCATGGGGGGCCCTGGGAGGGGGCCCTGGAACCTTGAGGGGTGCAGGCTCTGCTGTGGCACCTGCAGCAACACTCGGGCAGGCGGGCCAAGCCACGTGCGGGTGTCGCCCTTCCTTCTACCACGAGCCCCTCTGGCTGCCCGCCTGGCTCAGAGCCGCCTTGCACCTTCCCTTTGCCTTGGCCTTGTTTCCGGGGGCCGGCGGTGCCGTATGTACCAGCTCTGCCTCCCCTCTGGGGCTCTGCCCACAGGGGCTGCACCCCGGCCCCCGGAGCTACCCCACACTCTGCCCCCGCCGAGGGAGCTGTGCACGGGGTGTGGGAGTGGGGCGTGAGCGAGTCTGTCCAAATGCACGTGCTCGAGTGCGGGTGAGTGTGGGCCCGTGGCGGCCACAGGTGGCGTGTGGGGACAGCATGGGTCAGCGTGTGCACGGGGAGGATGTGCTTGCTCTTGGTGCTCACGCACGGGCACTCGGCAGGAGGGCCTGGAGCACTCACAGGATGTAGGTGATGACTCCGATGGACCAGCAGTCCACTGCTTTGCTGTAGGGCTTCTGGGCCAGCACTTCCGGGGCTGCAGGGAGCAGAGTCGTGCAAGGGTGTGGAGGGCCGGGGGCCCCACACCAGGAGACCACGGCCTGCACTTCCCCAGGGGGGCCTGGTCGCGGCTCGCAGGTGCCCAGTGGAGTTCCGGGGACCAAGGTCATGGCTGAAATGCCTAGCTGGGGGCTTCCTCCTGAGGGAGACCGTCTCCCCCAGTTAGGGCGCTGCACCCCACTTCTCCACCCAGCTGCTAGAGGCAGAGTTGGGGGAGAAGGAGGCTGGTGAAGCCGCATCTGCCTGCCTCCCTTGGCCGACCTGGGTGCTGGGGAGAGTCAGGGCAGACAGACCCTATGGCCCAGGTGCAGGTGGACCCACCGCATCCACCCCGGAGCCGCTCACCCACGTAGCCGGGGGTGCCACATGCGGTGGACATGACCCCGCTCTGCTCCATCTTGGACAGGCCGAAGTCCGTGATCATGATCCTGGAGTTCTCCTCGGGGGTGAGGTACAGCAGGTTCTCGGGCTGTGGGAGAGGTCCCTGGGGTGACCGCCAGCCCCCTCCCTGCCTCTCTGGCCCTCCCCGCCGAATGCTGATGCCTCCCCTGCTGGCCAGCCCTGGAGTGGGGGCGCCTGTCTATGTGCTGAGCCGGGAGCTCGTGAGAAGCTGCTGCCTGGCGGTGGGCCCGGAGACATCGAGACCGCGTGCGGGGCCCCGCCAGCCCCACTTGCCTTCAGGTCCCGGTGGACGATGCCATTCTCGTGCAGGTACTGGACGGCAGACAGCACCTGGCGGATCACCAGGCTGGCATCGTGCTCCGTGTACACGCCGCGCTCCAGGATGCGGTCGAAGAGCTCCCCGCCCGAGACCCTGTGGGCACACGCTGCTGGACACTCGCCCGGGACACTGGGTGGGCCTGGGGGCCCCCAGGGACACTCACAGCTGCATGACCAGGTAGTAGTGTGTGGAGCTCTCGTAGATGTCCTCCAGCGTCACGATGTTCTCGTGCTTGATCCTGGGGAAGCACGGGCAGGGACTCACAGCACACGTGCCCCACAGGGCTGGGGTACACAGGGGTAAGCACACAGGGACCCCCGAAACACAGAGCTGGGGTACACAGACACATCCAGACGGCACACAGAGCTGATGTTCTCGGAGACCCCCAGAGCACAGAGCTGGGATGCACAGGGACCCCCGCAGCACACTGAGCACATAGGGACCCCACGAGGCACACAGAGCACACCCCCTTGAGAAGGTGCTGTGCTGGAGGCCTGGGAAGGTTCCTTAAGGTGTCCCGCCCCAGATTCACCGTGGAGAGCCGTGGTTTCTCCACAGACAGAAACTTCTTCCTGCCGTCCTGCCCCTCCCGAGGGCAGCTGGCAGCACTGGGCACTGTCCCCCACGACCCCCAACTCCCTGGACTGCATCGAAGTTGATGCGCCTCCCCCCTCTGGACCCACGGAGGGGTGGGGCATGGGGGCTGAGCTCTGGCAGGCTTCTGCCCTCCTGCAGGGCTGCCCGAGTCCCAAGCCCCAGGGACTCCCAGGGGGACCAGATCGTGGAGGCTGGCGTTCCAGCCCCTCAGCACCGCTGGGGAGCTGAGCTGGGCGTGGCCCCTGCCAGGGACGCGGGGACGGGGCCCCGCACCTCCTCAGCACCGCGATCTCATTCTCCAGGTTGCTGTCACGGAAGGCCGGGGACTTCTTGATGCATTTCAGGGCGAAGAGCTTCCCAGTCACCCGCTGCCTCACCAGGAAGACCTCCGAGAAGGCCCCTCTGTGGGGACAGGGCGCTGGGGAATGCCAGGCCTTCTGGGCCGAGGGGGGGCCGGGGCGGCCCTCCACTTCGGCCCTCGCAGGCCCCCGCCCCGGCCCATGAGGCGCCCCCTTCACTCACGAGCCCAGCACCTCCATGAAGGTGAAGGTCTTGCGGATGTTGGCTGTCTGCTTCTTCCAGGACGCGCTGTCCCCCTCCCTGTCCTCCTGCCACACGGGGGCCTCCTGGGCTGGCCATTCTGGGGGCTCTGCTGGGGGACAGGAGAGCAGGACCAGGTTGAAAGCGGGTGCCAAGTCTGGACGCGGGGGAGGCAGGTGTGGCCAAGCCCGAGGCTCCCGGCCAGGGCTGCCTCCTGCGATCTCTCAGGGACCCCCACGGAGGCCAGGGTGGGAGGGGAGGCCCGTGGCCAGGGCAGAGGTCAAGGCATGGTCTGGGGGAGCCGCACAGGGAAGTTGAGCCCCCATCTCCTGCAGAGGCCCGTGTGTGCCGAGCGCCCGCTGGGGACCCAGCCCAGGACGCAGGGGCAGACTCGCCACCAGCCTGCTCCCCCCAGGCCCAGGGCATGGGGCTGGACCAGCCCTCAGCTCCAGGCAGCTGCGTGGGGGGTGGGAGGCCTCACGGCAGCCTGTCACTGCCCACAGGGTCTCTCCGCCGGGCGCCCCGGCCCGCCCACCCGCAGGGCTGCTCCAGCCCCCGCCCAGGCGGCCAGCAGGCGCTCCAGGCCCAGGACCACGGAGGAGCCTTCCTGGTGCCTGTGGGCTGCTGCAGTCCCCCCCACCCCAGGGCCTGGTGCTGTGAGTCACAGGCTCCGAGGCCGTCCTGCCGCCCACTGCAGCCTGGGGAGACCAGGTGCCACGGGCCCCACCCCCACCCACTCAGTGGCTCATTCAAGGCTCAGCTCCGCCCGCCTCGCTCCTGATGCTGAATGGGAGGCAGACGTGGATGCCGGCTCCTCAGGGGTGCTGCCGGGCACAGCAGCTCAGGGCACCACGGTCCTGGCGGCACTGACGTTACTGGTGCTAAGACGCCGCGTCCCTGCTCACGGCGGTCGCGTCCCTGCTGCTGACCTGTTGGACGTCCCTGTGCTGGGAGGGGGCCCCAGAGTCTCATCCCCATGCTGGGAGGTGGTCCCGGGGCCCAGGGTGGGTGGGAGTCTGCCTGCAGGAAGGAACGCCCTGTGCAGCTGAGGGCAAGGTCGCGGGTCTGTCCAGTGGCCCCAGCCCCCGGGGGTCACCTGTGCCCCAGCAGGGCCCCGCGAGGCAGGACCTCCTTGGCAGCCCCAGCCGTGCCAGCGGAGACACGCAGGGCCGCGCTGGGCACCTGTGCCTGCGCCCACCTGTGGGCGGCTCCAGGAGACCCTCTTACCTGCGTGGGAGTCTTCCTGGCCCCCGGGTGCCTCCTCAGGCTCCACCCTCATGGCCGTCCATAGGGGGCTGCTGGCCTCCTGCTGCCCAGCCAGGCCGCCCGCAGCTCTGCCCGGGGCCTGGCTCGGCCGTGCCAGTCACGCAGCCCTGGCTGGGCTGGTGGGCAGCGGGACCTGCAAGGGAGGGGCGTTTCAGGGACTCCAAGCCCCTCCCACCCGCGGGCAGCGCAAGAGTGGGAACCAGCCCCCTGGCCCCACTGGCCGCTGGCCGGGGTGCAACAGGGCGGTGCAAGCCCCCGAGGTCTGCGGAGGTGGCGGGCAGACAGCACCCCCTCCCCACCCAGCACGCAGGCTCCCAGGAAGCCCCAGACCCGCCTCTGCCTCCACTCACCCTGGCTCTGGGATCTGGGAGCCAGTGGGCACAGACCCTCCTCCTCGCCAGGGGCTGCCAGTGCCCAGTGCGGGGTGGGGGGCCCCTCCGGCTCCCACAGGTCTCAGCCCTGATTCTCCTATCACCGTGCAGGGAATTAAAGGGGAGGCGGCTGGACTTTTCCTCTGCAGACGGTAACCAGGCAGCCTTAAAGGGGAGGCAGCGGCTGCAGCTGGGCGCTGTGTTGCTGTGTCCTTCTCCCCGTTGGGGTCTGGGCTGCGTGTGTGGAGGGAGGGGGAGGGAGAGAGCCACTGGCAGCCCAGCTCCGCGACCGCCTCCGGGGCTTCCCCCTTCCTCTCCCGGGGCCGGAAACCCCCCCCACTGCCCCCTCATGCTGTCCACGTGCACCTCACCTGCGGGTCTCTGCAGTGGGCAGCCCCCAGCTGTCTTGGTCCTTCCTCTCCCCCGCCTGCCCCACCACCAGAGATGCTGCCCCTGCAGGATAAACGTGCGGTCCGGCAACCCCTCTCCCCCCCCCCCCCCCGCCCACATGAAACACTCATTGCCTTCTGGCCACTTGGGCCCATGGCCCCTGGAGACCCACTTTGCACCTGCAGACCCACCCATAGGCAAAACCTTTCCTTGCTTTTTTTTTTTTTTTTTTTTTTGCTTTTTGGATCACACCCAGTGATGCTCAGGGGTTATTCCTGGCTCTGCACTCAGGAATTCCTCCTGGTGGTGCTTAGGGGACCATATGGGATGCCAGGGATCGAACCCAGGTCGGCCGCGTGCAAGGCAAATGCCCTACCCACTGTGCTATCGCTCCAGCCCCTTTCCTTGCTTTTTTTGCCATGAAAACTGTGGTGATTTAACACTCTCAGCAGAAGCCACCTCCTCCAGGGACTCCTCCTTGGCTTCCACACCCCCTCAGCAGTTTCTCCTTCCTCTGTGCTGCTCGCAAGCTTGTGGTCTGCAGCTGGCCTGGGCTGTCCACTGGTGTCTCTCTCGTGCCCCCAGAGTTCTCTTCCTGCCCCTTTCTCTGTGCCCAAGGAGGAGGAGCCCAGTAAGTGATGGAGAGACGGAGCCTCGGGTGACCAGGGTGGTCCCGGATGAGGGTGCGTGCAAGCTCACTCTGACATCTCTCCTCCCATGGATGAAGTGTGTAGGGGCTGATCTGTCCGGGGTGGCTGGGGGTGGCCGGGCGTGGCGGTTCCCCAAGATACCAGCCTTGGAGGCACTCAAGGTCCAAGGAGCAGGTGATGCAATAGCGCCCCCTTCTGGCTAAGATGGGGCACTGCTGCACCCTGGACACCCGTGGACCCTGGTCTTGGGGCCCCCTACCCCGTTTCCTGGACCCTCCCTATTCCCTGGGAGGGGAGGAGTCGTGGTCAGGAGACTGGGCGTATCCATCCCAGGGCCAGTGTCCCACCCGGCTGCCTTCCCTGTCGACGACCCACCTGCTGGTTGTATTGGCCACCACTGACTGCTGGGCCAGGGCACTTGGGGACCGTGCGGGGACGCTGAGTTGAGCCTCGCCTCAGTGCTGGGGTCCCTGCTCAGGACTAGGTCCTCCTCACTACTTCCTGGGGGGTGCTGTGGCGTCAGTGCTGGGGTTTTGCCCCAGGGGTCTCCCCCTGCCCAGATGCGTCTCCCCTCCGGGTGCTTCTCCGTATGCAGCGCAGGGCAGAGCAGGGCCGTGGGAAGGGGGTCTGGCTCTCAGGAGCAGCCCCTGATCTGGGGAGACCCCGTGGGTGGGAAAAGCCCAGCCTGTCCTATCCTGTGGCTGGGAAGCCCGTCTCCTGGGGAGGGCCCCTCGCCACATGCTGCCTCAGTCTCCTCGTGCTCTGCGGGCGGGTGCTGGGAGAGGCGGTCACCCGGACACTCACATCAGACACAGCCCGTCACTCCTCACCCCACACCTCAGCCACCCCCCCTTCGTCATCATCATTCCAGGCCCACGTTCAAGGGGTGGAACAGGTCACCGCCAGCCACCACACACCGCTGAGGTGCACACTCAGGGAAAGGACCTGTGTGCTGTCGTGACGGGACACGCCCTCCACACTGTCTCCTGGCTCACGGCAGGGGCCTAAGCGTCCTCTGAGCTGAGCCGCTCACCAGCTCTTGCAGAAGCAGTGGCGGTGACGTGAGGCCACGGGGCCCGGGACTTGCACTCGGCTCCTGGCCTGGCCGGCGCCCGCCTCTCCCCTCCTCAGGGCCCACGGGAGGTCTCTGTGCCCCAGTGCTGTGGGCTCAGGCCACGCCTGGGAGCTGCACGGTGTCGGGGGCTGTGTGGGAGGCTCAGGAACGGCCCGTGGGGGCTCTCCCTGTCCTCAGATCCCGGGTGTGTGTGGGGGCGCGATTCCATCTAGGAGTTTCTGGGGCTGTGTTAGGGGCAAATCTCTGTCTGGGGGACCTCTTAGCCCAGGCCAGAGCCCCGAGGACCAGGCAGGACCGGGAGCCTCCCCACACCCCAGGTGGGCCTTTGCCCCAAGACCAGCCTGCCTCAGACCCTCTGGGATGTTCTAGAAAGAAGCTGCCAAGATCCGGCCGGCTGGCCACCTCCTCCATGGGCTTCTCAGGCCCGTTCAGCGGCCAGTGCGGGGGGCCTGGCTCTGTCAGCCTGCCCAGAGGTGAGCAGTGCCCTCAAGGCTGCCAGACAGGGAGTGGCCAGCAGGCGGCAGTGCTGCCCAGGCGACCTCCGGACTGGGCCTGGAGCCGGCCCCACTGGGGGTGCCGAGAGAGCGGGGAGCTCTGGTGGGGGGGAGGACAGGGTCCCCTGACACCCATTTCTTCAGGAGGTGGCCTGAGGGTCTGCGCGCAGCGCCCACCCACAGTCCCGGAGCTGGGGAGGGCAGAGGCTGGGCTGGACTGCTTCCTGCCGGACCTCTGTCCGGTTTCCTCCCAGCAACTGCCCGTTCCAGCTGTGCCCCGTTCAGACCCCCGTGCCCATTCCAGCCCGCGTCCCCCACTGGAGATCTGTGTCCTCACTCCAGCGGTGCCCGGTGTCCAGGCCTGGAGTGCAGGTGCAGCAGTGTAGGGGTGTGTGTGGTAGCCCTGTGGGCCTTGTGTGGGGTCTTTTGGCAGCAAGAAGCCGCGGCTTACCTTGGAGGAGAGGAAGTGGGGGTCCCAGTATCTGGGCCCTGCTTTGGGACTCGTGAGCCTGATGCAGACCTGCACACTGGCCACTGTTGTCGACACCCTTCTGGAATTTTCCAGCATGTCCCCAAACACCAACTGGCATTTCAAGGTCCCTCCTGGTGCCCAGGAAGGAAGCGGGCCCCTGTCCTCGGCTTGGGAGTGGAGGGTGGGTGCCAGGCCAGAGGACCATTGGCTGGACCCACCAGAACTGACCGTTCCCTCAGTAGGTGCCTCGGCCTGGAGTGCAGAGACCAGAAATGAACTGGGATCACCAGGTCCTGTCCAACTCAGTCCGTGGGGAGGCTGCGCCCCTCTCACAGAGACGCCCCCGGATCTCGGAGGGGAAGAACCTTCCCGAGGAGGCATGTGCCCCCTCTGCCTGCTTGGTGGGCTCCAGCCCTGCCCACGGGGGCCTGGGAGCAGGACTCTGGGACGGGACGCATCTGAGGGCAGGAGCTTTGTCCAGACCATGGCCACACCCCCTGTAGCCACTGGAGCCAGCCCCAACTGGCCACGGCCCTCAAGGAGGCCCTATGTCTGCCCCAAACCCCGAGAACCACCGTGAGACCCTCCCAAGGGCAGGATGGAGCCGAGAGGGCTGGCACCTGGGAGCACAGCCCGCCCGTGCTGAGCCCGCCAGACCGCACGGCCACTACTCTCCTCCCCGCCTCTGATTCGGTGCCTGCATATCTTCAAACTGAAACGGGAGACTCGCTGATGCCAGGTCAGAATGCTGCCACTAGAATGTTCTTGGCACACAAAACGCTGCTTCCTGCTTCCTCCTTGGCCGCCAGTGAGGTCATCATGCACCCAGCTGTCCGGGAGGGACCAGATGGGCCGCTGGCAACTTTGCTTGCTCTGGGCGCCTGGTGCCCCCTGGACACAATTCAGCGATGACTTCAATGAATAAGTGGCAATGACCCCTGGCCCGGGAGCCGTGGGCTGCGCATCTGCTCTTGAGTGGCCTGGAGATGGGGCTGCACTTTGTCTGTGAGCCATCGGGACTGTGTTGGCCCACTCCTGGGCGGGAGTTTCCCGCGAGAGGCCACCCAGAGCAGGCACAGAGCAGGGCTCGCTGTGATGGAGGGCGCCCGGCCAGGTCCCTGCACACGGGCTGTTTGGCCTGCATGCCCGCCTGCGTGTTTTGCCCACCCACCCCTCCTTGCTCTCTTCCTCCCTCCCTTCTTTTCTAAACTTACAGTTGGGGCCAGGGAAGTAATACAGGGTGGCGGGATGGGCCTCACGCTGCAGGGCCCCCGGAGCTCGGCTGGGGTGACAGAGCTGGCCCTGACTGCACAGCGTCCTTTGGCCCCTGCATGGTCCCACCGGGCCAGTGGGACAGTGACGGAGGGTTGCAGACTGCCCCCTGATCCTGGAGCACTGCTAAGGAGCCTCCTGGCCGCCACCCGCCTCCCGTCCCCAAACCCTCATAGACCTTCAGCCTTGTGAGCTGGGGCTCCTGGGAGGCAGGCGTGCACGTGTCCTTGGTGTGTGGTCACGGGCACCTTGCCCTGCCCTGTGCCTTGCCCCAGCCTCGTCCATGCTTAGGGACATTACCTCCCGGGGTTCCGGAACTCTCCAGAGGGGACTGTCCAGGGGTAGGGCTGAC